CCCCCAATGGGTAGCAGCGGCGCGCCCGCGTCGAAACGGCCGCTTTGAGATTGCTCGGGCCTGTGCGATACCCGCCACCTCAAAGACCCGCAGTGTCCTGTGTCTGGACTTCTAGGCCATGTCCGGTGGGGTGAAAGGACACTTAAAAATCAACCCGTTTTTTTTCGAGGGGCAGCTAGGACCTGACAAACGTTCTGGGCTGCCCCTTCTTTTTTTTTTTTTTTTTTGCCCCAGGGGCCTCCATCCGGACATGGGGACTGGACACCGGACACCGGACTGTCTGGAACCCGGTCCGGACGTCCGGGCGGTTACCATGAAAAATATTAGGGATGTAGATCTTTTTGAGATTTACTAACTCGTTTTTTTTTTCTTCATTTTTTTAACTTTAAATAAAAAAAAGACAGAGAAAAAGAACCCAGAAAAACGATGAAATGAGCTAGCCTACCAGCCGGGCCGCCCGGGGCACCCAAAAAAAAAAAAAAAAAAAAAAAAAAAAACAATGTTGTGCAGAAAAATAAATTGAACAACTTTTGCCTCAGGGTCACATCTTTAAAATTAAAATTAAAATTAAAATATTATTATTTAAATTTATTTTATTTTTTTGGGGCCCGGCCGGGCAATTGGTCCCAGGCCACTCTGGTAGCCTAGGAAATGAGTGGGTTTTACTTTTTTTCACAGACTCTGAGATTTCTTTTGTGGAAAAACATACGCAAAGAAAACAAAAAAGAACGTAGGGTTGTAGACCTTTCTGAGATCTGCAACTCCATAAGTTTTAGTCTGTTTTCAGAAATTTGAATATATTTATAAAAAAAAACTTAAAAACAAAGGAAAAAAAAAAGAACACATGTAAGAGCACACACGGTTGCATGCAAATTACCGGAAGGAGCAAGCGATTGGGCGCGTAAGACCAAATGAGAATCGGCACGGCATATGGAGGAAGCATGGACGATGGGAAGGGGACCGTGGAGAGGTGATGCAGACACGAAAGGGGATACGATCATTACCTGTCTTGCACCGACGGTGGAGCTCAGGGACTGGCTCATAAAGGGAGGAAGGTCAAACAACTGCACGTAGCAGGGGTGCAAGGAGAGGTTACCCTCCACCCATGGAAATCGCCGGCGGAAATCGCAGCAGCCAAAATGGCCAAGTGACGGCGATGGCCATGGGTGAAGGTCTTCAAGCCATCTTTGTTGGTGGCCAAATGGATGCCGGGGGCGATCGAGTTCTTTTTTGGACCAATTGCTAGTGTGCAGGACTTCGCTGACGACGAGCGGCAGTCTACGAGGAACGTGATCGACGGCCCATTGAAGAATCTGCTCAAGGACAGCGTGGCAATTGCCAGTGGCCCATATATCTTAGAGGAGGTCCGAATTGTCACAAGCGAAACGCCATTCTGCGAGGTGTGCTATACCCACTGACACCTAGGAGGTAATGGGCGGTGCTTGACGCATCCAGAGACTGTGCAGGGCCTGCACCAGAGGGAGATAAGGAGTGCAATGGATGCAATACTGCAGTTGTACCCTGCAGTAGAGAGAGCAGCCTGGTTCGACTTAGAATGCCAGATCGATATGGCAATATGGGCAGAGGGCAGGCCGGCAGCGCGAGGGAAGAGGGAGAAGGTGAGGACGAAGGAAAGAGAGGAAAGAACTAGGAGAGAAGTGAGACGCAGGGGAGTTCCTAGGCGCAACGTCACATGGGAAGGGAGGGTAGACGACCCCATGAAAACGGACGAACCACAATGGCTGTTTAATGAGAATCGTAAACAGCCGGACGAACAGCCCCCACCGGTGGTTAGAGAATCAAAGGTGAAAGGAATGGAAGCGGTGAATACAGGACAGGAGGATCGAATGGGAGGTGAGTTGGCGGGGGCTGGTCCAGAAAGCAGTCGCCAGGGGAGGTGGAAGCAATACGACAACGGGCAAAGTAGGAAGGGGAGTGAGAGGAAAATTGAAAAGAAGCAGGGTAAAGTGAAAGAGGGGTTGCAGGAGGTTAATGCGGAGAAGCGGGTGGGGCAGAGCAATTGAAGAAGGAAGAGGAGGGGAAACAACTGGAGGAGGGAGAGGTGGAGGGAAGACGGCTGGAGGGAGGGGAGTGGAAGGCTGAACCGGCACAGGCTTGACAGGATTGCCGGGAGCAAGAGAGAGATGGAAACGACAGATCACGAGGAAGAAATGAATCACAAGGAACAGACGATCAAAGGGCGGTGAGCGGAGGAGGGTGGCAATTGGAGGAAACGGACAGGGGCAAGATGTAAGTTGACATGCCTGGGACGCAGAAGGGCCTCGGTGGGGAGCGGGAAAGGGAGGGACCAGAAAGGATCATCAGCCAGCCAGGAAGGGAAGAGTGTGAGGGGGAAAGTAAGGAGCCAGGACAGGCAGATACACCGTTGAAGGAGCAGGGCCAAACCACGGGTGCTGATGAGCAAGGTGACGGGAAGCGGTCGGAGACCAATGGAGGAAATCTGTGGAGACGGTCAAAGTGCAGGAGTAAGAAAAGGGGAAGTATGCCGACAAGAGGAGGAGGGCACTTGAGGAGGCATGGAAGGGGAAGGAAGTGAGAACACAGAGGAAGAGGACGACTCGAGAATGACAACCATCGCGGAGCAGAGGAAGGGGAAGAACCGGGCGACCGACGGTGAACAAAATTTAGAAGAAGGGAGGAAGGATGGTCGCCGGCAGGAGGGGGGTCGCAGGAGGAATCTGAAGAATCGAGAACCAATACCCTGAGTGGTAGGCCAGTGTATGATATGCCCATAGTGGCTGAATGGCTTAAGCATGAGCAGACGCCGAAACTCTACTGGCGAAGACAGAAGCAAGTCACCGCAGGCCCAGCTAAAAGCTCCTCCTCGGCAGAGTGCTTCCCAGTCCCGACCTTTTCGTCCTCTACAACGGCCTCCACACATAAGCGGCATTGGTACCAACATGAGCCGGAATGGCGCGCACAGCCGACATGTACACGGGAAAGAGAATGGTCCCCCTTAGGTGGACAGGGGCGAGAACTGTGCTACTGGTTGAGAGGAAGGAAGAGGGATGTATCGCCTTTGCCATCGGACTCCCTCCCACCAAAGAAGCCAGTTATGGCCTCCTGGTGGAGGGAGCGGTTACGCTAACTAGGAATCCAGGCACGGGGGAGGAGCTGAGCACGGAAGACTCGGATAGGGAGAGATCTGTGCACCAACCTGAAGGATCTGCGGGGGAGAGGGAGGAGGGGGAGGGACAGACTGCGAAACAGCAAGGGAGCTGTTTGCTGAGCTCAGAAGAAGCATCGGGGTGGGCGCAAGGACAACAAGTCACAGAGGACCAAGCTGCGGCTGAGCATAGTGAGGAAGAGGGGAGAACGACTGGCAGAGGGGGAGGGAACAGCAGGGGGACGGGGGCATTCCGGGGACCGTATGGCCATGTCAGGAGCTGCTGCGAGTAAATCTTAAACCACAAGTACACCCGCACCTGATTTTAACGAACCTCAATTTCACAACGCACCGAGTTTTGCCGAGCCTGGGTCCCGTTGTATTTTCTTTTCTCGTACTCCTCCCAAACGAACAACATGAAAAAGAAAAAAGAACCAAAAAAAAAAAAAACGCAACAACGCTATGGACAAGAAAGCAGTTGGATACAGAATTAGGGGTCAGTGTGAGAGTATGCCCTCAGTGAGGGCGTTTACAGCTCCGCGTCCATCACGGACGTTACTTTCAGCAATGAAAAGCAAAAAAAAAAAAGCAACAACAATATGGACGTGAAAACAGGTTAGATACAGAATCTGAGTTTATGCCCTCTTTCACAAGTTGTCAGAAGTCGGTGCACTGTTCCCTGCCCCGCGTTCATCACGGAGGTTCCTTTCTGAAATGAAAAGCAAAAAAAAAAAAAAAACCAACAATATGGACGTGAAACCGGTTCGATACAGGATCTGAGTATATGCCCTCTTTCACAAGTTGTCAGAAGTCCATGCATTGCTCCCTGCCTCGCTGGCAGGGAGCCGAAAAAAAAACAGAAGAAGATACAAAAAAAAAAAAAAA